TCATATCATTGTTAATTTTTGAACTCTCACAAACACATTCAAGTTACTACGATTTTCAGCTCTATATTACGTTTTTCCTACTCATGTCTTATGTTTTTTAGAGTATCTGAAAAAAGCAAAGTTGCTAAGAACAAATAAGTTCTATACCAAGTGTACCAAAAATATTTCTACTTGCTGATGATGATTCCTCTTAGGATTTCAGGGCATTTTTTTATTTTTTATTTTTTGCTTTCCTCTCTGATTTTCTCATTCTCTCCTTATTACTTCCTATATAAACTTAATTTAGAACCTGAGCTTTCGCTTGGGCTATTCTAACCTATTAGATCAATTTTTCCCTTCCTTCATCCTTGGTAAATAAAAGTTGCAATCCCCTTCCCCTGCTAAATTGCAAAGTTAGTTATTTTTAAATTTTTCACTTGAGTTTTTAGTGTTGGCAATGAAGGTAGTGAATTTTAGAAAGTTTTGTTGGGGGTAATTTCCCCAGGTTGTTGTGCATGTTTGTGTTAAAGATACACATGTAGGTGGTACTGGTGGCTATGTTTGGATGGTGTCGATGGTAGGCGTTGGTTGAAGATAAGATGTAGATGGTATAAATGATAGTGGTCTGATGGAACTGGATGTGATGTTGGTCCTTGTGTGATGAATTTGAATACTGGTCATTATGAATGACATTCCAATGGTGATACGGCGAAGGTTGAGGTGGTGTTGGTGATTTTGGTGGTGATGATTTGACGATTAGAGGTAGCATCGGTAATTTGGATAGCACCAACATTGGTGTAGGGGTAAAGTGGGATGAAGAGTAATTATGACTAAGTCCAACAATTGTATTCACGGAGTTTTTATTTTCATATTTATTTTGTTTATTGTTATGTTAATTTGGCATTTTTTTTTTTTTTTTGGTGTATAGAGCAACTGTGGAGTAGTTGTAATAAGTTTTTGAACTCTTTTTGCAGGCAGTTGATATAAAATCATTGAGCTTTCTCAATAGGGATGATTTGGAAAATAATAATAATAATAATAAAAAATAAAATCTATGGTGAACTCAATATCTTTTTCCATTTTTTAACAAGTCATAATATTTTATCCAGATTATTTTCAACTTTTGAAAAAATAAACATATATTATAAGTATAATGGGTTTTGAGCTTATTTACTTGCTCTTAAATGTCTTGAAAATAACACCAATGTACATGACATAAATTAATAGAACTACTAACAACTGCATAACTAATCGAACAATAAGCATTGTTTTAAAAGTCATTGAATGCTTAGCGTGAAATGCTTTGGACAAATACTGTGAGTGCTATAGTGATCGAGAACGATATGTAGAACTGTTATTATTATCATTAATATTCATTTTTTAACCTCACAACAACAAAACGTACAACAATTCTGCTCATCACTCAGAATAATTCTTGGAGAATTCGTGAAATATTTTTGCATATAAAACAATCTAGTACACTAACATTACCTTTATAAAACATAGGCCCGTACATTGCACGAACTAACTAGTTTCATTAAAAGTTTGAATTTTCTAACTTGAGAAAAAGTCGATAATTTAATTTGTTAGCTCCATCAAAGAGGTTTACACTTATGAAATATTATATATTTCTGAATGATGGTTTATACTTAAATTAAAATTTTTTTTTTTTTTAGTTTACTCAAGGAGGTAAATTTTAGGTGCATAATTAAGCTAGCACATATAATGTGTAAAGACAAAGAGATGCCAATTTAATGATTTATGAGTTCTATGGAAATTCAATTGATAGTATCTACCCAAATATTTTATTAAGGCTTGTTAAGTACAGTCAATGTCATAATGTAACAAATGAGATCCTAGCCCAATGAGAATCGAATACAAATACCATAATTTACGTGACAATGTCATAAGTTTAAGTTGAACAATACAAGAATAATTAATTTAATAGAAGATCATGTTAAAATTAAATGATGTATTTTTCGACATATATTAATTACTTTATTTTTCGCCATTTACAGTGTTGAATCATGTGTAACCGTATGAATTTGAAAGGCATACTGGATGCCAATAAACTGATTGAGCCAAATTTTTTCGAGTGGCATTGCAATTCAAAATTTGTTTTTAGGTATGAGAAAATTCACTATATTCTTGAGCAGCCATTTTTAGAGATACCCACTGAGGACTTGACTTAGGAAGAGGTGGTTGCTTATAATAAACACAATTATGGCGATAATATTGTAATATGTATGATGCTTGCAGCCATGTTACCTCATTTACAAAAGCAACAAGAGGGTATGAATGCTAATACTATGATTTTTCATTTCAAGAAGTTGAATGATGAATAAGTGCAAGTTAAAAGGTATGAGAATTCCAAGCGACTATACTAGTGAAAATTGGCAAAAGGAAGTGCGTACAGAAGGAACAAAAGCTACACATGCCACTTCCCATATATATATATATATTCATTTGTTTAGTCAGATTTTATAATATCAATGTGTAAGGCCATGTTTGGGACATCAAAAGATTGGTTCAAGAGTGGGAAATGGATTATTTTACTATTCATCTTCTTCAAAATTATGAAAACTTTTAGAATGACGATCAAATTTTGGGAGGACTCAACTTCTTCCTTTCAAGGCTAAATTTAGTCATCTTTATATCGTTAGAAATGTCTTGAGAAGACTATCTACCAGACCAAATGAGTAGCTCAAAACACAACATACAAGGAATTATCACATTACAAAATTAGGGTTCTTTAACTAGGGTTCCATTTTCTCTCAAAATACAAATTCAAACAACGTAAAATTTTGCATATATGTTCTACATGCAAATATGAACATATGGTATAAATTTCACGAATTATGTGAGTATTTCATAACTTGCCATTAAAAGTACTCAAACTTTGAAGAAAAATGGCATACACGCATATTCTTCATATTAAACAATTTTCAGCATGTCATTAAGCATGAAAACAACCTACTTAGACTCTAATACCAATGCAAAATTTCTTAGCATGCTTCTAAGTAAGTTTTAAATTTTAGAACTTACTTGAAATCACAAGAAATGAGAGGTTGAATCACTTGCCTTTGATTGGTTGGTTGCTACTCAATCAAGCACTTCTCTTTTGATGAGAAACTCGATCGCAATGGAAATAGTTCGATATCTACAATTCAAAAACCAACTTTGAGGTATTAATTTAGCAAAATCAAGTCACTACACTCTTGTATTCTTATTCCTCTCTATTTACCCAATTTTTTTCTTTTCTATCTTTCTTTCTTTTTTCATGATTTAGGAGTTCTGGAAGTATATGGAAGTTGTAGGAGGTGGGAATGTTAAATTTTGAATTTAAATCTCAACTCCTTCCTCCAAACTAATTCTCATATAATTTGGGTCAAGTTAACTCCCATGAATGACCCGTTTTATACCAACAGTTCTAAAAGGTGTGAAGCATGGTGAGGTAATGGAAATTTTGTTGACTGAATATTTTGTTATATATTTAGACAACCGCTAAAGCATAAGTCAGTTCTGCCTTTATTTATAATGAATTGATATTGTTATAGATGTGAAGAAACCTTTGATTTTCAAAATTGGAGAAAATGTAGAGTGAAATTCAAAGAAATGAGAAATAATCTTTCTAGATAGTAAGTAAAATATACACTAGTGTATTATTAAACTTATTATTATTGTATAACATTTGATATATTTTTATGGCAAGAGTTACAAAAAGAGTTACAGAAAGTTTTTACGGTAGATAAGGTGTTAAGAAGAGAGTGATAAAGTTTATATATATATATAACCTAATCTCCTGGAATGTAACATAACAACAAATGAAAAAGTATATATATAGAAATCAATAAATGAGAAAATACTTCTTTCCATACAAAGAAAGTAAATGCAAATGAAAACTAGTTTATAAATTTTTAAAGTTGGGTAGTCCATGTGTGTCAATCTGCACAAGTGTCATAATCTGTCGAGGTAAGTCGAGAGTCCATACGCTTGATAGCGCAATTGATCCTAACTCTCTGAAGCAAGTGAGTTTGCAACCTAATTTTTCTCTCTGTAGATGTCGGAATTCGTCTCTGTTGAAAGATATAAGGTCTCATATATGTTTAAGAATGCTCTGAATCGTCCATGGTCCTCTATCCTTGGCGATGCAGTCAATAGTCGCAGACAAATTTGCCTCAACCTAAATAGTTGAATTACCAAGTCCTCTGGCTAGTAGAATCACATCCAGTATCGCTTTGAGCTCGGACTCCAAAATCAGATATGAGCCATAGGATGATGAAAACGCCCTTATGCAATGTCCTGTATGTACATCAATCTGTAAGTTGTGATATACATGTAGCACAACCATTTTATTATTGACCAAAACCTTTCTTTTCTTGCCAATGCCTAAAAGAATTGGACAAATAGACTTTGATTGATAAAGGCAAATATTGAATTTCTCATTTTATTCTGTCTTAACTGAACATTAGTAAGGGAAGAACTTTGGTACCTGAGGTTCATAGCCTTGTTTTTAAAATAGGAAGAGTGCCTGACAATATCAATTTTATAAGAGAAGAATGAATAAGGCATGAATCGAGGCATTCTCGAATCCAACATGTTTTTAAGCACCATATTGTTTATTTTTATTCAAATCTATTCAATTATGACTATTTTAAAAATTCAATATTATCATCAAGTTTTGTGTAACGTATAGGTGTTCTTAATTAGGAACCAAAATTATTATCAAATTTGTGTTAATTTAACATTAATTTTGTATTTATTATATTATACCTAACATTAATATATTGCGTTAGTATAATTTTATTTGAAATCTTAGAAATTTTGTACATCAACTAAACACGGCAATTATTATTGTTATTATTATTGCACATAAAATAATAATATTTTAATCCGTTCACAGACTACTTAAATGGGATGGTCTTGATGAAGGGCCCAATGATTAACCCATTCTTTGACTGGTCGCTTAGAAAGCCCATTAGGGCTTTGCCGAATGAACGACTACATAAAGCACGCTCTCAGATTTCAAGTACTCTCCATTCCCAGTGCCTTTAGCTGCAGATCACCGGACTGAGGGTAGCAATAGGCGGCGGCACGATTAGCATAAATGGTTCACGTATCCTTTTATCGAAACTGTAAGATTCTACTCTTCTCGAACACGAACGTATTGTGATTTATGTGTTCGTACGCGTATATGTGATGCCATCTGCTTGATACAGGTTCTGATGTCTTTTTGTAGTTTTAACACATTTAAGAGTTTTGTGAATTTCTCTGTCTTTCTGGTGGTAATTATCAGTATATTTGTATTTTAATAACGTCAGATTCGAAGCATAAATATACATATATAAGAAATAATCTGATCATTTGAAATTTTTACCGCAGCGGGTGTATGTTTGGGATTATCATTGCTATCGCTTTGCTACTCTTTAAATTTCAACTTTAAGTATGTAGGAACATAAAAGGGCAGATACTTTGAAATTAGCAAGGTCACTGTGGTCGCTGGCATTACCATAAATTATTAGTTTATCTTTACATTTATAAGTTATCTAGCTGATTAATATGTAAGATCAATCAGATAGTAAAATTGAAATGACTTTTATATGAGCTAATCCTTTGATATGGTACATCATGAAAAATGAGGCTCCTTGTATTGTGTTATTTAGACTGTAGAAAATCATAGGCAATTAGTCCATGTATAATGTCACTTGTAAACTGCTTCAATAGTTTTTTTACACCTCTAAAATCCGAGTGTCATGTATATGCATGATGGATCCTAGATGGGAAGACTTTTAAGAAGCCCCGTCGTCCCTATGAGAAGGAACGACTGGATGCTGAGTTGAAGTTGGTTGGAGAGTATGGCCTGAGGTGCAAGAGGGAACTTTGGAGGGTTCAATATGCTTTGAGCCGAATCAGAAATGCTGCAAGAAATCTTCTTACTTTGGATGAGAAGGATCCGCGTCGTATTTTCGAGGGTGAAGCCCTTCTGAGGAGGATGAACAGATATGGACTGCTGGATGAGAGTCAAAACAAGCTCGATTATGTCTTGGCTCTCACGGTGGAAAACTTCCTTGAGCGCCGCCTCCAAACACTTGTGTTTAAGGCGGGTATGGCTAAGTCAATTCACCATGCTAGAGTGCTTATTAGACAAAGGCATATCAGGTATTCAGATTATTCAGTTTTAGTTGATCATAGTGGAGTTTATTTGTTTTGATATCTTAATCTATTTATTATGTGTATTTGAGGACAAGATTGAAAAATATCATGATATATTGTCAATTTGAATGTTTGAAGAAGGGCACATATGTATTGCATGATTATTGAATGAAATATCATACATCCAACTAGAATTTTGCATTGGGAAAGATAAATTTATATACTTGGCCCTTCTTTTTTGGGGATCAGAATTTGTGTTTTTTTCCCTGCATTCTAAATACTGGTAAAAATGTAGAAATTCACTTCTTTGGCTATTCATTAATATTTAGCAAGATAGCATGTGTAATTATTGACTACCGTTGATCTTATGAGCCAACCAGTGCCTGAATACTGTGATGGAGAATAAATGAGATTTTGTTGATAGATATTTGTAAATCTGAAGATACCGGATTCTTGTACTGTTTTCAAATGGACCGAGTTTCATGTGCATATGCATTGCATATTGAGCTGAAGCTTAAACAAAGTATTTAATTTTAGCAGTTTCTGTTATTTTTTACATTATAGTATGATTGCTATTGTGAATTTAGACTAAAGTGCTGCCGTTAATGTGATTGCTGCTTATATATCATCTGTCATGGGCATTACAATTATGCTTTACAAAATATTGCTTAAACTCATATCCTGGCCTTCTGTTGCGTTTTAATTAGTGTTCAATGAAATCGTTATATTTGATCATAACTACCATTTGCGAAATGGAATTATCTTTAGGTGTAGATTCAACATTAATTAGTCACCTAACATATCCTTTTCTCAAATAAATAGGTTTGTCTAGTTAGCTCTCTAGGTTCACTTTTATCCACTTGTTCTCGACTCCCTATCTGCTGCTTTGGAGTGGCTATCAGCAGAATTAGTCGTATCAGCTCTAAGCTTGTTGTTTACTTTGCTTGCGTTTATTTATTCGCTAATGTTATATTTAAAACTGCAGGGTTGGGCGACAAGTTGTCAATGTACCATCTTTCATGGTGAGGGTAGATTCCCAGAAACACATTGATTTCTCTCTTACAAGTCCTTTTGGTGGTGGTCGTCCTGGTAGAGTGAAGAGAAAGAACCAGAAGGCTGCTGCAAAGAAGGCTTCTGGTGGTGATGGAGACGAGGAGGATGAAGAGTAAGCCTAGCAACCCAGGGATTTTGTCTTATGCTCTCATGTACTGTCGTTGTCGAACTCTTTATGTTTTTTGTCTAGATATTTAAATTTGAAAATTCTAAGCTTCATGGTCTTTTTGATTCTTAACATTTTCAAGTTATTGTTATTTGTAATTGAATTTTTGGCAGCTCGTTACATTATATGTTTTCTTAATTTAGTTTTGGAGAGTTGCAATGCTTAGAGGGACACTTTGGGTATTGGGATTTTTTGTTTTACTTCTGAGGTTGTTGAACTTTCATTCTAGTTGTGATCAGGTCATTGAACATTTAATCACATGCCTCAGTAAC